GCATTCACTACATTCTTTATGTATTTCGATGTGGTTTTGGTCCTTATAATACATTCACCTTTATTGCAAGTAAATATATTCATTCACAGACTGGAATTAACTACAGGATACAGTATTTACTGAAGTCTTTATGCATCTACCCATATATAACATGTTGTGTATATATTTGTATTCATAGAGAGATTGTATGTATTGCAGATCTTTTGTTCTCACTTGTAGAGGGTTTAGTGTAACTGTTTATATTAAATTCTTATTGACTGCAAGGATGCCTTAACATTTACCATATAATATTTATTGTCACCCATAGGTGGGTACCTCTATGCATGACAAACCTCTTATAGTGACTTGTAGGATCCTGCATTTAATGTATTTCTTTTGTATCTCACATGTGATATGCATAGTGCGTCTTTTATGACAACTCGTGAGAGTCTACACCCAATGTATATCTTCCATCTTTGCTTGCAAGCTAATTGATTGTCGAGTGTTGGAAATTATTACACTCATTGTATGTGAACTATTGTTGTCCACAAGTAGTTCACCAGATTATCTACAACCACTATTGATTGTTAATTGTGGATGAGCCATGTTGACCATTATAAATCTTCCGTCATTATGTATCGATGATTCAAATCTTGTGTAGCAAATATGCTTGATAACATTTTTATTCCAATCAATGTGATGACCCATTGATATCTCATTGAAGTTTCGTGTTTTGATTGCAATCATATCATTGCACTTTCCAATTAACCTTCTCTTGTGAATAGATTGCATTCTTCGTCTATCCTCTGTTTTAATTAACTCCATTCATTTTGAAAATATAAATAGTTTGAATCTAGTTCATGAATAATTTAAGGTTCTTATAGTATCACTAGCGATAGACAATACAACTTTATTCATTGAAGAGAACTTTGGATCAACATTAACAATCAAGTAGTATTTTCTGTAACTTCACTTTCATCGTTAGTAGGTGAGACATGTCCAACCTTTCAACTCATATTTGTTGGTTTCTCACTAAGCTCATTATCCTCAATAATTCACAAAGGTTTGCTGTGATTATTTACAAATCACCTTAACTTCGTTGTTCACGAGTGACAAGTTAGGGATTTCTTACATGTGAGTACTTGCCTGCTTGTATGAGATTTGAATGACTTGAAACTTTTAATTAGTATTAGCATTCAAGTTCCTTATTGAATATTCATTTTTTGTTATATTCAAGTTAAGTTCAAATCCAAGTGAAGTCCTTGTCACCAAGTTTATGTCCTTTGCTTAGTTTGAGTTCAATCAAGTTCACATAATGTGTGAGTCAAGTTCAAAGCTTTTGTCCAAGTTTTGTAATCAAGTTTTAATTCAAGTTTTCACTTAGTTCATTTCATGTTCCAACCAAATTCAGTCCCAATTCATGTCATTGCTTGAGTTCAGGTAACAATATCAAGTTATATGTCCCCAATAATCTTTGTAAGTACAAGTTTGAGATCAAGTGGTCCAAATCTTGTCCAAGTCTTCTGTGGTACAACTTAAGTCCTTGCTTGAGTTCAAATGTTTGAATCATGTTCAAATTCATCTCAAGTTTGAGTCCAAGCTCATTGTCATTTTTTTTATGTTCATTGAGTTCGCTTGTATTAAGTTCAGATTTTTGACATCTGATTCAAATCAAGCTCATGTTCTTTATAATTTGTTGTCTTTTGCTTGAATCCAAATTATGTGCAAATCAAATTAGATTCAATTTGTTGTTCTTAATTTAATATCAAGTCTTCTTATTGTTCATTTAGTCCAAGTAAAGTCTCCCTTAATTTGTGCAAGTCCTTGTGCAGTTTAGACAAAAATCCGGCAGCCTCCCGGTGTCTCCCCCATTAAGGGGGAAAACCAAGAGGCAACCTTCCCCTCATCGCTACTTGAGCACTTCAGGTAGATGTCAGATAACACCACAGTTGCATTTTTTTTAAATCCCTGATTGCTACATGAGCGTTTAAGAGTCTTCGAGTACGTGTTAAAAAGAAACACATTTTCTTTCCCCCCTCTGCACTACATGAGTGTTTGGAGGTTCTATTTTTGTCCCCTTTATGCTACATGAGCATTTCAAGGATTACCCGCCTCACTGAGAGTGTCGCATTGGTTTCCCTCCCTATTATTCTACGTGAGTGCGTAGGGGGTTTACCGGATCATCACTAGCATCGAGAGCGGGGCTTAAGTTAGAAACTTATACTTTCACATAGGTGTGAAGTTACTCGATGCACCAAGGGGGGGGGGGGGGAGGGTTAAATTGCGAAAAACTTGTTGTAATAAAAAATTCTAAACATGAGTTCTAATATTTTTTATGTTTTTAAAATTTTTAACTGAAAATTTGAACTAATGCGTAAGCGAGTACTTGAACACAAATAGCAACAACGAATTCCACAATGAATTTCACGAAGCAATTTTAATGAAAAAAAAATGCAAGCAAAAATAAAAGCAGTAAAGGAAAAATCACACTAGAGATTTTATAGTGGTTCGGTCAGTTGACCTACGCTCACTCCCTGGAGTCCTCAACTCCAGGAATTTCAGTACTGAATAATAGTTCTCCTTTTGCACCCTCGACAAGGTGGAGAAGCCCTTACAAGACTCACTTTTACCAACCCGACGTGGCAGAATGCCAACGCTGCTATGTTATTTGTTGTGTTTAGCTTATATTCCTTTTGTTTTTTTCTTGGATTTTTTTTTTTTGGTTAATGCAGAGCCTTTTAGGTTTTATTTCAATGTTGTATTTTAGTAAGCTTCCGAGTAATTAAGGACTTTTACTTTTTCTCTTTTTCAATGTATAGGACACATTCGTAGGAATTTATAACAAAAAAAGGTACCATGCTAAGTAGAAGGCAGCAAACCAGATGAGCCAAGCCCCAAAAGAAACAAATAGAACAACCATAGAAACTAAAGCAACTGGAACTAAAAAAATCCCAGTTGAAAATGTCAAAGGAAGAACCTCCAGCACAACCCCAACAATACCCAGCCACAGGTTACATGAAACCAGCTCATAAGATACCAAACCAAAACCTTGTAGCTTGGGATTAGACGAGAAATATACAGAAGAAATATTGGCATCAAAATAGAATCATGAAAACTAAGAGATGCAAAAAATAAAGGAGACCCATTAGCACGAATAGACAACCACCAAGCCAAAATAAAAAGAAGTCCCAAGCACTAGCCAAAAATAACCATTAAAATCTAACATAGGGAAAAATTTTTTTCTAATCGTAAAAGTCCATTTAAGGGTACAGGTAAGTTAGAGGCAATGAAGTCAGTAAAACAATCCAAGTTACACTCCAAATTGGTTAGCCAGTAAACATAGGAATTCACCTCCTTATACACATGAGAGAGGGTGTAATTAATAAAAATTAGTAGCATCTTAATGTCCCTAATAAAATTAAAAGGAGCTGGGTTGCACACAGTTTCATCAATATTATTTAAACATTGAATATTGTAAGTAACATCAACTTCGATCCAAATGATAAAAATGTCAAGAGAAACACAAAATCTAACCCCATGAAGAATAGCTGAATGCTCATCAAAATTCACAGAATAATTATGTAAGTGGCCTGCAAAAGCTATGATGATATTCCCACAACCATCCCAAATAATGCCACCATAACCCAAATTGGAACCTTTGAAAGTACTATCCACATTAAGCTTATAGGAATTAATAGGAGGTTTGATCGAGTAAACAATCCTAGGTTCAATAGATGGATGATCACCCTCCAATGTTATACCTAATTTAGAAGTCACAAAGTAATAGTTCATAATATTCTGGACAGAGGCAAATTGATAGAAAAAAAACACAGAACCTTGTATTTCACACTTTTAATAATCCTATGGTGATTCATAGCAATACCATTAAAAAGATAATTATTTCTATCCAACCATAAATATCACAAAATGAGAGAGGGAGTAACATTCTTGATGTGACCTTTAGACTTAATAAACCAAGAATTAAGCAAAGAATTAGGAGACAACTTAACATTAAATTATTTTACTCTAAAAATAACATCGATATACATCCATGTTTTAACAACTAAAGGGTCTGAAAGAAAATAATGATACATGTTCTCCACATGAAAGTAGCACTGGAACTTGGACAGTAAGATAAAGCCTCTTTTTATTAAGTTATCACTAGTAAGGATGAACATATGCAAAATTTTCCAAATGAAAATAGTAACAGTGCCAGGAATGCTTTTATGCCAAATCATGGAAAAAGTATTAGTGAAATCATTCTTAGCGCTGAAGACATGCCAAGCATCCTTTAATTTGAAACCCCCATCCTTAGATAAATTACATGATAATAAATCATTAGAATCAGTACTAAGGGGAAGGTTCATAATTTGATGAAAAATATAATCAAGAATAACGTTATAAAGTTTATCGTAATACAAACAGTTCTTAGTAATGAAATAATTCAACTTAACAACCGAAGTGGAAGTGGTATTAATGATGGAATCAATAGAATGAGCTCCCAACAAATGATCCTACCAAAATTAGATGTCCCACCACCAAGCCCCCAGTAAAAGTGGGGCTCAACAACCCATTTAACATTGCAAAGTTCTGCCACACTTTAGAGTCAACCTTGTTATAAAAATAAATAGCTAGGTGCTTACCCACGTAATACTTAACAAACATAAACTTAGCTTAAAGACTCACTTTAGCACCAAATGAGTTCCATAATTTAATGGAAAAGCCATAAGCCAAATCATACATACTCTTACTACCCAAGCCACCTTCATTCTTTTTTTTTTTTGAGGAAAATGCAATTTCATTAATAGGAAAAAAAGACTAATTAAAATCAGCAGGGGGATGATATTCTACCTTGATTAAATTAACCATCAAGGGAGGGATATCATCAAAAGAAAAACTATCAAAGTAAAAGCTATCATCTAGAGCCATAGTAGCACATAAGTTGGCTACCTTATTACATTCTCTATGAGCATGTACAAAAACTACTTTATTGAAATCACTTACAAATAAAGAATCACTTACTAGCTTGAGGGTATGTCTTGCTTCAAAGAATTTTGAATGTATTTGATAACATTCAAATTGTCACTTTCAATAATGACTCCTTTGTAATCTTTCATCCAGCTTTTGACATAATCTTTGACCGAGAGTATAGCATCCAACTCCAAATGAGCAATATCCCAATGTATCAATGTTCTCCCAAATGCAAGAATGAATCTCCCAAAGCAATCTCGGAAGATTCCACCAATACCAGCTAGTCCCGAAGGAGTTAATGAAGCATCAACATTGATTTTCATCCAATCTTTCGGTGGGGGGCACCAAGAAATAGAAGACTCCCTAAGGAGATTAGTGCTCCAGTAAGAAAGATAAGACGTAGCTTTAGTGATGGCTACAAATAAAGCATTAGCAGCTACAACATAATAAGGAAGAGCAGATTTTCCATGCTTTATCTCGTTCCTATTCTTCCAAGAGAAGTAAACAACGGTACAATAAATCTGTACCACTCCTAGATTTTTACCAGAAATTTGTTTAAGTTCAATTAAACAATGATCCAAGGAGTTAAAAGTAGGAATAGGAATACCCCAAGAATTGAGTTGATTGATGATGTCCACCAAGTGTTTGCAATTGACACTAATATGCTCATAATCTTCCACCATATCACATCCTCTCGCACAAGTATCATCATCAAAAAGCTTTCGGTTCTTAAGATATAAATTGGTTGGAATAGAAGCATTGCTAAGTCTCCACCAAAATGTTTCCACCTTTTTGCTAAGTTTCAGTTTGTTGAGCCACTTGTAATAACCTTCTTCCATGAAATTAAATCTTCTATTTAATACTTGTTCAAAAGCAAAACCCGAGATTGTTTTACCGTGACAGATTTTTTGCAGCTCCACCTTGTCAGCACAGTCGGGATGAACATGTATTTTGCTGATAGCATTCAAGAGTTCAGGATGGAACCACTTCTCTATAAGAGAATAATCCCATTGGCCATTCTTCATAAGATGATGAACACATTTTCCTTCCAATGCTGTACAGTCAATAAAAGTCTGCCATTGGTTGATACATTTGTCATAAATCCAAATGTCATTCAACACATTGATATCTTTTCCATCTAGAAATGTTCTTGAGAAACTTACCACCATCAAGGAGAGGTGTATGTTTTCCAGCTTTAGAGTAGTTCTTATTATTAGTGAATCACTTCCAGATACCCATTGCATATTTAGAACTCATCACGCTATGTGAAAAGAGTATTTGGGACTAACCTAAGTAAATTCCTAAGCAAGATTTAGTCTCTTAAAGGGCCGCATTTTGCATATTAGGAGAATGTAAATTGCCTAAGCTCCCATACTCTGGTAACATAAATTTTCCCAAGCATACTCGTAGTAAATGCATCATAACTACCATTTTGGCTTATGTCCAATAAAAATTTCACAGTTTTTTTCCATGGTGAGCACACACTTTCTTTGGAATCATTGAATGAGTATCAACAAATTTTTAGGCTAATTGTATAAGAACTAAGTGATAAGAGTAACTATACCCACCGTAAAGAAAGAAATTTCCTTCCCAAGCCATAAGCTATCCATCATATTAGTAAGTACATTCAATGAAAATCTGCAGCTCTAAGTCGGTTTAAGGATATTTGATTCCAAGATAGCTCATCTCCTTGAGAGCTTTGACAGTTCAAAATTAGAGATTTCTTTCTTCATACGATTATTACGCATTCCCAAACAAAATTTGAGATTTTTTTATTGGTGTTAATTCTTTTGGCCGGTCCAACAACA